GGAAAATGTAAGGTATATTCTAACAGTTATTTTAATTAGGAAAACCTTTTCTATAAATTCTTGTTTCCACTTACAACTCCCTACAATGAATTTTTTAGAATCGCTTTGAATGCAGGTAAGTTAGAAGAAGTATTTAACGAAGGTTCAACCTACTTTGTTAGAGAGAGTACTAGGAATTTTTAGTAGCTCGTGTTTGCCTTCGAGCTAAGTCTCTCTTGAAGCTGTTACGCTCGGCCGTATTATTACGGGCCTTTTGATATTCGCCGCCTAGTTTAAATTAAGGGCCAATACGTTATATACAGTAGAGTCCCGCAAACTTGACTCCCGATATCTTGACATTTCGCATAACTCGACAACTTTTAGGAGCTTTTTAAAGATATATCTAGGCCAAACAGAGCAAATATTATATACAGTACATATAATTATTATTTATGCGTATGCCTTTCCTGTTCTGTTCAAAGATTTGAGTGTCGTTTTGCTGTAATGTTTGCCGTTTTCTCATTGTGCCATGAATTCTTAGAACTGCCTAACAAATGTCAAGGTATGCTGTAATACTTAACAACGCTGTTTGCTTCTTTCGAGGATACGAAGAAAGTCAGGTAGCAGCTGGCCTCTGGATCACATCCTTTTCTATTGTTGCTAAACGTTAGGAGACTTGTCTGAAGTTTTGTGACTACATCTTATCGCAAACTAAACTCACACCAGTTCATTGCGGGTATAGTTTCTCAGTTCACATCAAGGTTAAGTGTTAACATATTTTTGTGAACTTTTGATATTCTGTGAAGTGAAAATGTCGTTCGAAAGGCAAAGAAAACAAACTAACGTGATAATGGAAATGAAACTAGATGCCTACGAGACTAGACAAAGGGGTAAATGTAAACAAATTACCATGGATATAAAAAAGTGTTGAACGGACTACTTTGATAAGGTGGAAAAGAAGAGGTTCGAAATCGACTCTTGATCTGTGAAAAGAGCATGTATGATAGCTTAAAGTAAAGAAAAAGTATTTTGAAAGGTGGTGAATATCAAAAAGTGAGCGAGGCGCTTTACTTGTAGTTCAGGTAGCAAGGGAATAGGGAACACGCATTTCAGCACCAACTTTACCAACAGCGTGGATTTACTGCTAGAGCAGGCTGGCTCGACAGATGGAAAACGAGGTACGGCATCAGGCAGTTAAATGTTTGTGGGGAAAAACTATCTGCTAGCTTTGCAAATGCTGCAATATTCAAGGATAATTTCCACAAAATAAAAAGGAGGGTATATCTATAGATCAAATTTATAATTGTGAAGATACCGATTTGAATTTTCAAATGTTACCTTCGAAAATGCTGGCATCCAGGGAAGAAAACTCGGCACCTGGCTACAAAAGAAGCAAGGAAAGAGACACAATATCGGCATGCATCCAATGCAACAGGCAGCCATAAGCTCAAACTAGCGCTTATAGCCAAATCAAAAAAATCCCCGGGAGTTTAAAAACGTACAATAATGGGACCGAAATCAACTAAAGTTTATTTATTTATTTATTTTATTCTTTTCTTTTATACTTTGACGTACTAAGATCTGGCTGATTTGGAAAACTCATGAAAATCTTTTTTTGCTAATATGTATTATTCCTACTACATTCACTAAAGCTTTTAGCATTCTGTTTAATTCACAGATTTACATAAGATGATTTCACTTATCATTTTAGTGTGCATGTGTAGATTCATACATGCATGTATATCACACATACATGCAAATAATCTAAAGAAATACAGTCACTCTTTAAAAGCAAATTTTTAAAGTATTTTAATTTTTCCCTAAATCTCTGAAAGAGATTGTTTCACCTTCTCGCAACAACGTTATTTTGCAGCTAATTCATTAAAAAAAATAATAGCTGAAAATTTTCATGTTAAATTTTGCTATTAGTACTACAAAATTTAAAACAAAAATATATGAATTTTAAATTGAATAATATATAATCAATGTAGTGAAATTTCAGTGGCCAATGTATTCTTCATAATTCTTCTTACATAAAGTAATATACTGCATTTAATTACTGAGAATCTTAATCACATGAAACCTTCACATAGTTGTTTCCATAAAATGTTATAGATAAAAAAATGATGTATCGATACTTCCCTCTCTCTCTATATATTTATACATATATTAGGGGCATATCCTGAGTTTTCATTTACCTTCCAGCACGCGCGCTACGCAATTTTACATGAGCATGCACGCATCGTAATTTTTACTTCTGTTATTTTAATGTTTTTGGCACAAAAAACGACAGAAATGAGTGAATATGATAATGAATTTGTTAAAAAATAAAATATTAAGCTTATTATTGCAAAATACATATGATGTACCATTGAAATAAAAGTAAATTATTTTTAAATGTTTATATTAGTCAGGTGGAAAGTCACTGATGTATTTCCTTATAGAAAATTAAAGATTTTTTATTTAATAACAATGTTTTAAAACCCAAACTAGTTTTAATACTCATTAAAGGCAAGTATAGACAAATAGAAAAGGAAACAAACTCACCTTGGTAGGGAAAAAACGTAAAATTAGCATTCTTTACTTCCGCAAGGAAATTTACTTCTTACTGGTTACAAAAACTAATTTTAAACTAATTTTTAAATTTTAATATTTTTATTTATTTCTAAAAAATAGAACTAAAAGAATAGTAATAATAGAAATAGAATACAGTAGAGTAAAAATAGAGAAACAGAATTCTGAAGATTCTTCAATGTTTGAAGTTCACATTGCATACCATGCAAGTAATTTCGGTAATGGGATGACATTTGCACTTGTATCTAAGGCATGTCTTGCATTTCATAGATGCTGACGATCAATCTCTTTTTTTTTTTTTTTTTCCTCTGCAGATTTTTTTTTTCTCTGATAATGCAAACCGCATGTTCCTCGTTTCAATTAGTATTGCTCTTGCACTTCAACATTAGGAGTAGCATAATTACGACTTAGATATGTTGAAATGGAAGGTAGTGTTTGGATTTTGGAACATCAATGAAGATGCTCTTTCATAAGACCAATAGATAAATTCTTTAGGAAGATCCTTGAGCATGGTGTTGTGTTAGCTGGCTTGAGGTAACAGTGAGGTCTCTGTCATTTGAGTATTTGTCTTTTAGGAAACATTTTTTTATGTACTTTATTTGTACATTCTAAACTTTCATCAAGCATATTTATATCAATTACATTCAAAAATGATCCTATTTCATCCTCTATATCCTTGGCATGGTGTTTTAGGCCAGGTAACACTTTCACAATATTTATCTTTTTCGTCTTTGAGCAGTTTGCATACTTCTCTTTTTGCCATTTAGAATATTTATCCTTACCAACATAGAACATATCATCATCATTTATTTTTTCCATATCATTATCATCGTCATCTGAAATATTGTTAAGATACACCACTGATATTATTCATCTCGATATTTTCCTCGCTCAAATCACTATTGTTCTCACAGCTAAAGGTTTCCTTTTCTTCACCAGATAATTTTGCAAGAATGCGAGCAAAATCAGCTGCTCGCACAAATTTTTTTTGCCATGGAAATCTATATAAAATTTATAGAGTAGAATTTATAAAAATTAAAATAATACATATCAATTAATAACATAAAATAAAAAATATTTGAGAAAAAAATAATTTCCGAATTTTCACCCACGACCATGTGCGTGTCGTAACTTTTACAAAGAAGCTGCCATGTAGCACAAAATCTCAGTAAAAATAAAAGCCATACGACTTCCTGTTGGCACATTCCATGTGGAGAAAGGGTTGAAAGGAGGAATAGAAATCACCTTTAGGCGTCTGTGATATGCGAAAAATGTGCATTAAAAGCGGAATTTGTCATAAACATCGCGTATAGCGCGCGTGCTGGAAGGTTAAAGCCATGTTGAGCACAAAATTTTTTTTAATTTTATTTATGAATAGAAGTTAGAATTGCATACTCTTAAATATTGCATAGCATGTAAAATGATGAAATGCACACAATAAAACTTTTCAGTTCACCAGATTAAGATTTTAAATGCTTCGTATAACATTAAGATGCTGAAAGAACATCAGAAACAAGAATATATACATTTTTAAAATTAGCTAACTTAAAATAAATAAATCCAAAATATAAACTTCAAAACAGAAAGCTCACTTTTGCATGGTAATGCCTGAAACGTGATAATAAGTCACACTAAATTCAGTACTAAACAATGAATATAAATTTCTTCTAGCTTGAATGAGATGCAGACAGGGAAAAACTGATCAACTATCTCACACTGAGAGAGAAAGTTGCTCTTGTGAAATACATTATTTCATTAATGATGCTATATGAATAGCATGAAGAGGCAGAATTACAAAAGATACAACAATTAATGCACAATTTGGTTTACACTAATTTCTGATTCCAAGTAAAATTGATTATGCAACGCAAAGCTGTATGTTTAAAGTAATTACCAGGGATTCTACTATACAAGTGAATTAAAGAAAATAATTTTACATTCAAATTTGTAGGCATTCATTGCATGTCCTAAAATGATACCCCTGATATATATATAACTTAAAAATTTTATTTTAATTTTATGCCCATTTATTTTTCCTTATGTCATATTTTAATATATTTTTAATGCAGTTTAAATAACCAACTCCATTAGATCAATACTTTTAGACTGTAACATACTCTTCCCAAGACCTCTTTTCTCAAGTGAAATTTTCCTCAACTATAGGGTAATGGTAGAATGGCCCCAAATTATCTGATTCCTTATATCATGATAACTAATTACTAAATATTATAGCTGTACCTTCCGATTAAATATCTTAGAAATCTTCGATTTAAATTTTAGCTCTTGAAATATATACTCCTTGAAATTCCGCATTTTTAAAATTTAACATAGAAGGTTTCTCACCCTTTTAACCAGTTCAGTGTAATATTTATGCTTCCTGTGCTATTTTATGCCTTGCTTAATTAAGTGAATCCTACAACTGCCTATTTTATTAAAAAATTCTCCAGTTACAGATTGGAAATCATCGTTTTTATTACATAGATATATATTTATAATACAAAATAATTCATTTAAAATATCACAAATGGTACATATAATACACATATAACACAGTTAGTCTTCTTTGATCATATCAGCAGCTCGTATTCTGCGAGCTCGACTGCCCATGATATAAAAATACAGCCAAGGGCATAACACCCTAATAAGTATAGCAATCTTTGGCAAAATTCCAGCTAAAATAAGCTCTGTCTGTTTCGATGCAGTTGCAATAACTACACTTTCAGCAACTTCTTTTGGGTCCATTCCAGTGGCTGTAGTTTGATCCATTTCTAAAAAAATTAAAATATAAAATTATTATTAGCAAGATTAATTTTAACCTTTTTTAAAAAATTCATCAGTTTTTAAGAAATTAGAGAACTAATATTTCTAAAACTGAAAAGTAAAATAAATGGAAATGGTTCAAGTTTAGATACAAGAACTTCAAGATGAAATAAGAAATGTTCAGAGAAGGGTGGAGGACAATTAGCAATATAAAAAATATTACTCTTACACATTTTTGTCCATAAATAAAGCAAAATTAAATAAATAATTTTAATTTAGGTATATTATCAAATACACAGTAATCAAATACACAGCTGCTTTGATGAAAATTTAATATTAATACCATTGTAAACTGTTTTTATTAACGAAGTCTGCCCATCTACCGTAATTTCAGGTAGATAAGTTGCGGCTTATACATATTTAAAAGTTGAAAATTTAGGTCTACAGTGTATATGAGAAAATTTTATTTTCCCTTTCCTTAAAACTTCGCTAGTCCAGATCATAAGCTATGCAGAAGCGAAACGGTAAGAATTCGCTACAATATTCTAACCTCAGATTGCACTAGGGCAGTGCAATAAGTTCAAACTCGCCTAACTAAGGTAGGTGGTTTTCTCTACCTTAGTTAGATAGAGAAAACCACCTACCTTAGTTAAGGTAGGCGGCATGTACTAAACTCCATAAGGCATGTACTAAACTCCATGGTTTTGCTGTCGTTTTCCTATTACTTTTTGTTTTAATGGAAACAGCTACATTTACTTGCCAAGTGCTGTGTTCATTTTTACACATTTTTACTGCTTCATAGCTTGCTTTTTTGCTTGCCTTATCATTCGCGCTTTAAAAATATCATTATTATTATGGCTCTTACTCAAAGAAAATGTTATACAGCTGGCTTTTAAGCTTTTGGCAGAGAAGAAAGGGATCGAAATTGGAATCGCGCTGCGGCTAAAGAATTTCAACTTGATGAGTGATGCATTCGGCGGTGGAAATCCGAACAAGAAGAACTAGATAAATGCCTAAGAATAAAAGATCTCATTGAACTTGTTTCATAGCCTGGCCTGTTTTGGAAGACAATTTAGAGAAATGGACAATAGAGCAGTAAGAAAGTGGATTATCAGTATCAACAATTTGCCTTCAAGCAAAGGTAATTGCTCGACAAATGGGCATTAAAGATTTTGTTGAAGAACCTAATTGGTGTTTCAGGTTCATGAAGCAAAAGAAATTATCAGTCTGTCAGGACTAAAATAACAGTTGAGCAAAAGTTTCCCATGGACTGGATTGAAAAAAGATGGCTTTTTTGGAGTATACATCTAAGAAAATTAAAGAACAAAATTTGAAAAGGGGGCAAATAATTAATATGGATGAAGTGCCCATTACGTTTGACTGTCCTCCGAGCAAAAATGTTCATTCGATAGTTGAAAAACTCTTTCAGTGTTAACAACCAGGAATGAAAAGACTTCTTTTACCTGTGTTTTGGGTTGTGCCACCAATCGGACAGAAGTTGAACCCTGTCCCATTGGCCCTAAGCTCCGAAGCAAAAAAAAACCTTAGCATACTAGGTCTCAGTCATACCAGGTGAGCTCAGAAAAATTTTACAGCTGCTGGATCTCACTACCAATAGAATTTTTAAGCATGAACTACAAAAGCAGTGGGAGGAATGGATGCAAAGCGGACTCAATTCCTTCACGAATTTCTGACCAAAAGAGAAAAGTGTCATATGACGAGGCTGTCTTATGGGTCGATAAAGCATGGCAATCAGTCCGAGCTGATATGTTTGTATCAGCTTTCATTAAATCGGAAATTAGCAAAAATGAAAATAAAAGTGAAGATAGTGATGTTGAAAGAAGTGATTTACAACAGAATGATGATATTGACCTTGATGATCATTTGTTAAATTTATTTAACTCTGACATCGATGAGTCGGACTTTGAAGGCTTTGTATAAATTTAGTTTAATTTAAATAAAAAATTTTGTTTGTTTATCTAATTTCTGTATTCTTTTTCATAATATGGTAATTTATGGTGATAAAAGTTTACCGAACCCATAAAATAATGTCTATTAGAAATCATTAGAGTTCGTTTTCGGCAAGCTCAAGGTAAGATTTTTATTTCTTCTTTATTTATTAAATATTACTGATTATATTTATGTTGTAGATGTTATAAAATGTTATCAATGATGATTACATCAATATGGCAGAGAATTATTGAATAAATGAATATTAAGTGCCGTGTTTCGGAATGCTTTGCTGTGGCATATATGGCGGTGTGGCTTATTTGATGAACTTTAATTTCTTTTCAGTCATTTATCATGTGTACGACATATTTGCCAGGACAGCTTATCTACCTGAAATTACGATACTTTCCAATAATTGAAGATGATGTGAATAATTTATACATTTAGATTAAATTTAAAAGCAACGGATATCTCTATACAGCATAACATTCTATTTTTAAAACTAACAATCCACCAATGAAAAGCTGCCTGAATTCACATTGTCTAAGCTTTCTGCAAATGAAAATACCAACTTCAGATCACAGGCAAAATTATCTTCATTCTAAATTCATGACACCACCTTACTTCAAAATAAAATTAATGTTTTGCCAACTAAAACATCTATAGGCTATGAAGCATTTAATTTATAAACCCACTTTCAGATGACAACCGCTCACATGGGGAAGTAGTTAGCAACTCTTGCCTTACCAGAGAACATGGGTTCGAATAACAGGAAAGGTTTGGATGTAATTTGTTCATCCCTTCATAAGATTCTCTCCCTAGTGGCCTACCTACTAGGTGCCTCCATAACAGAGACCATCGTTTCCTGCCTTAATAGTGGCCAATGCTTATAAACTATGCTTATAGAGTCTGCTTTTGAAGGAGGGGGAGGGGGACTTTTGCATGACATTTTTAAAAAGATATTTGTTTTGAGCAGATTAATCTCTCAAATTCTAACTTTCTCTGTTGTATAACATTTATTGTCTGTTAGTACTATTAATAATTTTCATATCAAGAGATTTTTCAAATAATACGCATTTTCTCTTAATTGAAGTACTGTAGTTTAAATCTGTGATTGAAAACTCAATTAGATCAAAACATAATTTTCCAAAATGAATGGTATCAGATGAGATACCATTTCAAAGTGTACTGTAATCAATCATCATCTGTCTGATGATGATTGATTACAGTACACTTTTCTCAATAAGAACACATTTTGTGAATAGTCAGCAGTTGCCTAAATTTCTTTAGAAATGTGAATTTTTAATTCCATAACATTTTGGTAATGATACATTTTTTCTTATATAATCTTGTGTAATATCTATAATAAAACAAGACTAAACAATTATTCTAAAAAGTAGAGAAACTATTCTTACCACCATATCTGCTACCATCACCAGTGACAGCATTTAATGAAAGATTTGTCTGTACATAACCTGGACTAACTACACAAACACAAACATTTGTATGACTGAGTTCAGACTTCAAAGTATCAAAAAATGCTTGAGTAGCATGCTTAGATGCTGCATCTGTGAAGGAAAAAAAACATTTAAAATAACAAGACTACAATTGATACAAAATAAGTTCACTACAATTAATGCAAAATATTAAATCGCAATAAATAAACTATACAATAATATTCAAAAACACGCATTCAAATTATTTATGCCCAGAATGCACTAAGGCTGCTTGCACATTTTTTAGATGATTTTGCTTTGCTATAAAATAACTGTCAGCTTGGAATTTTTATTTTTTAACTGCAATCATATTTTTGAAAGTATAAATTATTGTCTGCTATTTAACAGGTTTGGTTTCATGTAAAATGGCATTTCTAAAGAAGCAGACAATAGAAAGCCATGTCTGTGGTATTTCCGAAGAATTTACTCATATCTAGTTATTAAAAAAGTGTGAAAAACATATTCTAATCAAGCGACACAGTCGCAGAGCAGGTACCTAGGCTACAGCTTTACCCTGTGTATAACACGTGAGGAGTGAGCATATATTTCTGTAATAGCATAAACATGGCAATATTTAATGCGAAGCATACAGGTGCTCTAAAAAGAGCAGTGATGACGAGGAAAACGAAAAGATAGTAGAAAGTTCATGATGTAGCAACTATAGTTAATAGGCATAAGTAGTATTGGATAGCTGATTGAAGATTTGACTTGCAGAATTCCGCATGTAATTAGAAAAGTTCATTTCAGATGCCACTGGGAGCATAGTTCCTTCTAGAAGTTCGACCGCTGCTGTACTGACGTAGCTGCTGCATTCGTCGTAGAGGTGGTAGAAGAGTCAGGTGACTTGGAGGAACTAGAGCTGCTGTGATTGGAGGAGAGTAAGGTGAGTACAACATTAACTATCGGCAGGCAGGAAAAAAAAGGGGGTAGGGGCTAGGGGAGGGTTTTCAGAGTCATACATAATTTAGTGATAAGTTGAGCCAAAAAGAGGGGAGGGGCTAAGGGGAAATACAATTTTTTGCACGGTTTAATTACGTATCAAGGCATAAATTAATTTAAAGGTAGTAATTAAGTATTAAAGCAGCAATAATAAGATTTTAAGTTTTTGATGCATAGAATATACAATTCCTTAATTCAGAGCCCGTAGTAATGCGCCAGACCTTCTGATGTTGTTAATATCATTGAAATCATATTTCATTTCTGGGATACTTGGGTTTTGAACACTGCTAATCTTTCTGTAGAATTTCTTAGCTATTTTGGGAACATACCATTGTAACTGAGGAATTCTAAATTCCTCGTGAATAGCAGAGTTTCTGATGAACCATCGGCATCTGATAATTTGCCGTAAAGTTACATTTTGCAGTATTTGTAATTTTTTAATATGTGTTTGACTGGCAAAACCCCGAACGGGAGAGGCATAAGTAATTATGGAACGCAAAATGACTTTATACAAGAGTAATTTATTATCTATAGACAAAACTGAATTCCGAGAAATTAGGGGGTAGAGTTTAGCTTTAGCAACTCGGAATTTTTGAGCTAACTGTGTAATGTGGGGGAGCCATGTTAATCGTTTATCTAACGTAATTCCTAGGTATTTGACAGTCCTGGCCCCACGGGATATCAGTGCCATACATAGTAATTTTTTTAGTAATGATTCTCTTTCTGGTGAAGAGTATGGCTTCAGATTTGTCGACATTGATCAGAATTTTCCATTTTTGGAGCCAGGCCTCCAGTGCATGTATGTGAATTTGTAGTTCTTGTGTGAAATGGTCTAAAGATGCACTTTTTGCTAGAATCGCTGTGTCATCAGCGTACATGGCAAGTGTAGTGTAAGGGGTCTGTGGGATGTTGTTCGCATAAAGTAGAAAATAAATTGGGTCAACCAAGGACCCTTGAGAGAAGCACGCATGGATATGTCTCTGAGTAGAGTACGTGTTTTTGTAGCGAACAACAAAGTGTCTCTCATAGAGATAAGATTTCGTGATGTTTATGATGTATCTTGGGAATCCCAAGTTTATGAGTTTGTAGATTAAGCCGTCTAACCATACTCTGTCGAAAGCTTTCGATATATCGAGAAAAAGTGCTCCAGTGCTCTCCTTCTTTTTCAGTCCTTCGGCTATGAATTCTGTTACACGGTAGAGTTGATGAGTGGTGGCATGCTTTCTTCGGAATCCATGCTGCTGAGGGATGATGATGTTTTTCTCGTTGATATATTCGAGAATTCTGTCATGGATAACAGCTTCTGCAATTCTGCTGAGAGACAAAAGTAGACTTATCAGCAAATAAGAAGCAGGTTCATTTTCAGGTTTGGAAGGCTTGTGAATGGGAACAATGACTGCTGTTTTCCAGGTTTTCGGGAAGTAGTTCAGGATCAGCATTTCGTTGATGATATTGGTGAGTTTAAATAGCATCATGTGACCCATCTGCCGGATCATCTTCATACTTATCCTGTCCTTTCCAGGGCTTTTCCGAACTTTCCTTTTCTCGATATATCTAATAATTTCCGAAGGTTTAGCTAGACGAATGTTGTCTGCGTTTGTTTTTGAGAAGTATTGATTGTTTGTGCGACTAAATGTGAGTTCTGTATCTGGGTTAGCAATGTTGTTAGTGAGAAACTGAGATGCATAGTTATCAGCTAGTGACTCAGCTTTCTCAGCTTCGGTGTATGCGATTCCATTTTGGCCATTTAGGGGCAGAATATTTGTGGAGCATCTTTTAAATTTGAAGACTGCTTTCCATATTGAATGATCATCTACGGAGAGAGAATCCAAATAATTAGACCAGTCTTGTGAATGGGAATTAGTAAGGGACCTGACTTCCTGATTTAGTTGATTTAATAATCGTTTGTCATCAGGGCAGCGAGATCACTGCCATTCTTTTCTAGCTCTGTTGCGTCTTGTGATTAGTGCCTTAACTTCAGGATTTCGAGAGCGCTTGAATACAGGGACCACTTTGCTATGGACGTTTGATATCTAAAGCTATGATAGGTAATACTGTCAAAAAAGAGAAGGGGGAAACATCAAAATCTGACTTCAAGTGGAAAAATTGTTCAAATACAGTACAAAGTCCGAGATCTGGACGTCCAATATCCGGAATGATCTAAGATCTGGACCTCAAAGCCACCAACAACCCTTGTTTTATTTTTTTTTTTTTTATTATTATTTTTGTATGCTTTACACACAAGCATTTGATTTTTCCCACATAATAAAACATGCAGAGAGGCCCTGTTCTTAATTCACTTTGCCACTGAATAGAATACCTCGTCACTGAGGAAACAATCATTTTAGAATAAATTTGTGTGATCAATAATTTCACTTCGTAGTAGCGTATTTGCTTGGCACAAATTTCAAACCCAAACATTCTACATAGAAACATAGTTCACAAACAAACACATTTTACACCAACTAGTATTTTATATCCCTGAATTCATAATGGCGAATCATTATTTATTATATTTAGCTTTCATCATTGCATGCTTCTCAGAACATGACAACTTGTGTAATGACTCATGCAGTGATGCGTAAACAATTTTTAATTGAATAATAAAGAGTATGGTAAACTTTTTTGTTATCATTACGCTTGACCATGATTACAGTTTTAAGCTAAATGCACTAAGAAATGTTGACGAAGTAGTGAAGAAAGTGACAGAGAGGTTATTGAAAATGAAAACATTCTAATTGACAAGTTAGTCGAAATTCTCGACAAGAAATTACAGGACTTGAACAAGAAATTAGATCTATCTGTAGAATTAAATAGAAAATATTAGCACAAAAAAAACAAAGCAACTTTCAATGAAGGAAATGTTTAATAAAGTAAACAAATAAATAATTAGCTTTTTTTCTTGTAAATTTTGATACCCTTTAGATCATAAATGCTTCATTATTTCATAAATCACCAACTCATATTTTTAATTTTATAATTTTTACCTGACATCTGAGGAGATTTAAACTGATGTTCCAATATCTGGAAAAATCCCAAATCTGGAATCACCAAAGTCCCGACGAGTCCGAATCTCGGACTTTGTACTGTACATATCTAAGGCAGAAACAGAATGTTCTGAATATTGGAAAGGCAACATCTTTATTGTTAAAAAAAATCTACCAGATTAACGAACAACTGCAAAATCATTAAAATGCTCAGTGTCAAATGTAAACAAAGTGATTAATGCCGATTTGCATCTTTAAAGGAAAAAAAAAATTACATGCATCATCTTTCTCCATAACATATCATCAAATGCAGAATGCACTTAAGAATTCTTTAAGAGAAACATATATCCAGACAAAGGGAAAAATTTTGTCCCCGTAGATGATTCTTGGGTGTATTTAAATGACTGCAGTAAAAAGAGAGCCATTTATTACAATCAAAGAAAAGAAAAAGTCTCAAAATATGGTTCAAAGAATTCAAAGAAAGCTTTAAAAGGGAATTTATGATTATATTGATTGTTTTTAATAGAAGGGCAAATTAAAAATAAAGAGAGTGGAGAAAAATGTTCAGATTAACTGCACATATTGTCAGAACATACTTTGTATGCAATTTGCAAATATGAAACACTTTCTCTTTAGGCACAGTGCCATCAATCAGTAAAACTGCATCATAATAAAGCATGCAGCCGCATGTCAAAATCCACTGTTAATTCCCCCCCCCTCCAAAATGAAACAAAAAACAGCATCAAGGCCAGACCCTTCACTCATATCTCTACTAAATCTTTTGATTATCACTCATGGATTTTTTGGTTTTTGAACTTTTAAAAAGCAGATTGTCCAAATGTTGACCTACAAGCCTCCTTGGACTTTTGAAAACTGTTCAAGAGGAATGAGTTAAAATAAAGGGTGCTCAAATGAAAAGGCACAAAACGTTGTAACAACCAAACTGGCTGAAATTTGAATATGCCGCTCTGGCATAACATAGTGAGACTTTTGAGGATGTGAACGTAGTATCCAATGTGGTTGCTCCGCACATGCAAGCGCTCGCACATGATGCCAGAGTGAAGTAAGCACTTGTGTGTTCCATCCAATTGATGCGGCGATACGTGTGATCCCATTGTAAAATTCGACAACTGAACAGCAGAGAGA